CAATCTCTGCGCCGATACGCCATGCATTGTCATTCGGCAGCAAATCCTCTCAATAAAGCGTATCCTCCCCCGGTACGCTCACCCTCCCCTTGTCCCCATCTCCGTGACAGCGAGCACCGTTTGTCTTTGTTTGGACCTGCTTCCCCTCATCAGACGGACAATGATGGACGCCTCTTCTAATGGCCCTTCCCGGCCGCCTCAGAAGACGGGAACACCCGAGTCCATAAACACGGCTCCCCTCTTCTCCAACCACTTAGTCGCTCCAAACGGCTTCCGACACGACTTCCTCTCACACGTTGAGTGAGCGCTATCGCCACTTTATTGCCTTGCTCACCTCCCGTCTCCCTCACTCATCTCTCTGTCTCTCTGTCTCTCTGTCTCTCTCTCTCTGTCTCTGTCTCTGTCTCTGTCTCTCTCTCTCTCTCTCTCACTCTCGCAATCTCTCTCTCTCTCTCTCTCTCTCTCTCTCTTTCTCTCCCTCTATCGCTCTCACTATCACTCTCTTTCTATCTCTCTCTCCCCTTCTCTCTCCCCTTCTCTCTCTCTCTTTCTCTCTCTCTCTCTCTCTCTCTCTCTCTCTCTCTCTCTCTCTCTCTCTCTCTCTCTCTCTCTCTCTCTCTCTCTCTCTCTCTCTCTCTCTCTCTTATCTTTCCTCGTTAAGTCTATTAAAATATGAATGTTTGTGACTATAATTCTGTTCAGATAAGAACTTTGATCATCACTTACTTTTGAAACACAATCATACCAATAAAAACCCTGCTGTCGAAGTTCCCAAAGTTTCTTCACTTGAAAACTTTCCCAATCATACCAATTAATGTTTGTCACCGTAATATTTCACTAACGTTCAAAACAAATTAAACATTTGGCATAAACGAGTTCTCTTATGCCCGATCCGTCGGTCTGTCTGTCTGTCCGTCTGTCCTGTCCGTCTGTCCATCCGTCGATCTGTCGTTCCGTCGGCCGATTTTCTGTCAATGTATGGGCTCCATTCATCCATCGTCAGGCCGGCCCAGTGGCGATCTCCTCCCGTAAGACCCCGCGGGCAAAAACCCCAGCTCGCCGCCAGGAACACGCGTGCGGCCGTCGATGTCTACCGTGCGCCGCATCTGTCGGCCTCAATCAGCGCCACTCCTTGCCGCCAACGCGTCACTATTTGCCGCAGATGCGCCGTCGCTCGCCGAGGGATCTGCAGGCAGCGAGGGATAAAAAGAAGCGGACACACCGCACCGTTTGCGACTGACGGGGCGAGGAGCGGGGAGGAGACGGAAGGAGACAGCGGGAGACTGGAGAGACAGACGGAGACAGGAGAGACAGACGTAGGCAGGCGGAGAGTGGAGACAGCCAAACATGACGCCAGGCTGGTGTTTCGTACACGCAGCATGTTCATAATTGGCAAATGAGAAGTACACAAATTGAGGACCACTTGTCTCCTAATTCCTGAAGTATTATGGTCGAAATGCTGTCATTGAGTTACTTCAGAGCCGATCCCCAAACTATCAAGGTGAAATTACATCAATTACATTTGATTGTGTTATAAAGCGAGCCAAATCCTATTGCTAGCATACCGTCCTTACCTGTCCTTGTCCAAGGCCGACTGGTTGTTTGCCTTCAATTGATCTTCACGAATTCCTGTAACACAGCTCGGTGCGGTTAGCGGTGCAACAAAGAGATCTCCCAGATGCCTGCGCGCACCTGTTCTGTCGTCCGGCCCTGGCTACAGCTCGCTCTGCACCAGTTCTTGGCTCGTGGCCGGCTCAAACACGCTGCTTCGTATGCCGAGTGTGCCCGAGTAATAGCGCATTGTTCCCCCTTTAGCGCCGGCACTAATTTAGTGGCCGTGTCCGCCTGCAAATGATACAGCTTGGTATGCAGCAGGTGAGGCGGCATATGCTGCCCCCGGTGAGCTCCCGGGCGACCGCCGCGCCGCCACACCGGACCCCGTGGCTATTCTTCGGAGGGGCGGCGCCGGCCGGTGACGCGCTCCGAGGAGGTCATTGCTGCTCCCCAGACGTCATGAGAGGTAGACGCCATCGGAGGTCTCTGACGCAGCTGGAGGCAGACACTGATGGGAGAGGCCGGCAGTGGCAATTTCGGCACATGTAAACCAACTTGTCCTTCAAATGACGCTAAATTGTGGTCACACGCGGTGACTTGAAGGTTTTAGGTCACGATATCAGGGGCGTCGCCACGGCTCCCCAACTTGTACGGACACATTATGTCGGTCGTGTCATTCGTCAGAATTGTTAACCCCATGAACAATACTGTTATCTCACTACAGTGTACCAAACGTTATGCGTTTTGCATGGTGTGTTCAACGAGAGATCAAATTTGAATTTGAACAGCCTAAATCAAATTTGAATCATGAATGGGACACTTTTAACGTAACGAGTAAATTGTCTTATCGAAATGCAGTAGAATGAGGAAATGCTTGAGCAGGTAGATAAGCACTCCTGTTTATCTCGTATAATAGGGTACAGGATGTGTTCTAGCATCCCAATCCAGAATACCTGAGCATCAAACATATCTTTTTGCAGACACCTCCTACGTCTACATAACCTCCTACATCCACATATCGGCAAACAAATATGCAAGCGCTCCTTGAACCATGGACCCATCAAAAAGAAAAAGAAAAACGTCCATTTCTTGATGACTGGGTGTTTTAAATGACTTCAGGCCCTTACATTCAGCGTTAGCTCCTGCTAGTCTTTGTTGGCCTCTGAGGGTCCTCCCTGGACCGCTACACAGATATCTCGAGCTTCCAGGCGACCTTTAAGAGCCCACGCCGACTTTTAGGGGTCCAAAGCAGCTGAGCTCTCTAACTCCCATGCAGTTCTTGATGCCCCATTCCAGCTCACGGGAGCCCAAACCTGCCTCGAAAGGACCCATTCATTGCTTATGAGTGCCTAGCCTTGCATGTGCCTCTGAGGGCCTCAGTCCGGCCTCTAAGGGTCCCTAGTAGAATTTTGAGGGCCCCACCTGACCCTGAGAGCCTGCGTCGACCTCTGAGGGCTCCAGGACATGCCTTGGAGAATGTCGGGCCAGCGATCGCTGAGCCCAGTCAGTTGACAGCTCTAACTCGATGTTTCAAACTTTGTGCTCATCATGAACAACAACACGAACAACATTTTCACTAACGTTAGTAGCACTTTCGGTTTTTTCTTCAACTTTTCCGATCACGGTTTCCCCGTATTAGAATATCGCCCCACGTCGCTTGGGCCCGCTCGATGGGAAACACTTGTGTTCTCCAAATAATGATGCCTAGGTACTTGTTTCTGATTAGCATGAATGACGATTGTGACATTTGTGGAACCCACATTAGAGCGATATTTGATCTCTTCACATGGCCATATTGAAGGACATAGTCTTCTTTCTCACAGGCCCTTGTATTACTGAGGCCCTGCCTATCTGAGCTCTGTCCTTCCCTGTGTAGGTGTCCTTCCTGTGCTCTGTTCCATGTGCCCCGCGCTGTCCCCTGTCCTGTTGTCCATGGCAAAGGCGTGCTCTGTCTCGTACTTAATATGTACCTACCGTCATTTCCTGTGCCCAGTGTTTGACATTTCTGCATCTGCTCTATCCTGTGCATTATCTTACCTGTGCCTGGTTTTGTCTGCTTCCTGTCCTGCATATGCCATGTCCTATGTCCCCTGCATATCTCCTACCCTACTCTACCATCTCTACCTGATCTTTGTCCTGTCCTTCGCCCTGTCGATTCCCGTGCCCCGGCCTGACCCAGTGCCTTCTCTGTCTGATGCCCCAGCTAGGTAGTCCCTCCCCATTCGTCAATGCCCTTGCATGTCGTGCCCTTCTTTTCCTGACGAGTGAGCGGTCCATGATCTTCAAAACCATTCTTATATGCCCTTCATTCTCTTTTCTCCCTAGCAACCCCGGCCTGTCTTTTTACAGGCAGGCCTATTTTTATTTTTACATCCCTGCCCTTTACCCTCACCCTAGTCCCTACTCTGTTCAGTTCGGTTCGACCCGGTCTAGTCAGTTTCAGTCTGCTCATTTTGCCCTTCCGTATTTCTTGCTGATCAACAAGGAGAGTGTCAGGGCTGGGGGGAGGTCCCCTGCCTACTGCTCCGCAGTGTTAGGCGAATTCTTTCAAGCTTGTGCGATCATCTGGAATCGATCGGCACCTAATCTACAAATGCATTTGAAAGAGAACAAGTCATTGAGCTAGTAGATGTGTACGAAAAAAATGTGATAAAGACCTTGTCAAAACTAAAACATTCTGAATACTTTCAAGAAAAATAGCAATATTGATAATGCTTTTACGGCATTTGTAATTTGAATTGAATAGGTATGATGCAAAAAGCTCACTTTCGGTCGTCGAAACTTGTACGGACATTCCGTACAAGTTTTGGGACCTTCCAAAACTTGTACGGACACTGTCCGTAGTGTCCGTAGTGGTGGCGACGCCCATGCACGATATCTACACAGCTCATAAGTAGTTTTCCTAAGAAAAGCGGAAGGGAAAAGAGAAGATCCAGTGCATGGCGAATTAAATCAAGTGAGAGACGGCTGTTTCTCGTAAGCACTAAGCAGGTAGCAACAATTCCTGTGCTTCTTGCAGCGTGCACTTTATTACATCCCTTGAAGTCTGTTCAAATATTACCGGCAAACACAAAGGAATTTCAACACGGGTATCAGGCAGCCATAACGCAGCAGTCATTAAGTTTGTTCTTGTTTTGCCCGTCATCACGGTTGGGTGCACTGTAATTAGGCTACCATATAGGAGGGATACTTTTTTGGGCTTTTAATCACCAAGCAATTGAAACTGATCGATGTTGGAATACGAAGCTCAGCAGACATATTGCGATGCCTGTTAGTTTGTGCCGAACGTTTGCATAGGAAGCAGTGCGGTTTAGTTTCCTTTGCTACGACAGAGTTCAACACCGCATGTCTCACAGAAATGCTGAGTTTTACATAGCAATCTCAGCGTACTGCAAGTTCCGCGGATGGTAAGACTGGATTGCTCGAGCTGACATTTGCCACCGCAAATAGATGTACAACCATTCATAATAAAATTGTTTTCATATGGACCAAAGATAGCTTCTAATGGCGATTAAGAAGTGTTCAGGATCCCGGGTGTGGCGAGTCGCAGCCATCGTTCTGCGTGTTGTCTGCTTCATTCTCTTACTGGTGATGTTCTCCTTCAAGCTGGCCGACTTCATGCACCGTCCGGTGGTCTGGGAGACGAGGGTGGTGGACGCCGCCCCACCTTCCATCACCATCTGCCCATCCAGGTTGAACGTCTCCAGCTTGGAGGACGCTCGGTCCGGCTGGGAGCGGGGCAGCTTCACCACGGAGGAGGTTCTCCAACGGGCTGCCACGCCAGTCGAGGCTATCGTCATCGCGTGCTCCACTGCTAACGGCGAGGTCTGCACACCTGGAGGAAAGCAGCAGAATGTCCCAGCTATTTGCAGTGCTGGGACTTTTCCATGGGACTCGTCCACAGCGCATTACTGCAACGCTTCTCGAGAAAATAGTGACAGCGGCGGCAGCAGGAGTGGCTTCAAGGCCCGCTGGCTGACTCGACGCCTTCCTCCGGGGTTCACATGTCACACTCTTCATCTTCAGCAGGACGATGATGCTCCGGTGGTGGAGATTCTTCTCACACTCGCCCTTCATCCCGACTTATTCCACACCGTGGAGGGCTTCTACCGTCTGTTCTTTCACCATGGGCGCTCCCCGAAGGTCTGGAACGGCGGGGCGCAGATCAGCCCCTACCATCTGGTGCAGGGAGGCCTGTTCCAGGAGGTGCTTCTGACGCAGATCGGGATGACCATGGTGGACCGACCTCGGCAGCACTGCCGCCCAGAGGAGGACTACGACGTCAACCAGGTGGGTATTTTGTTGACGATGAAGGAGGTATGCTTGAAAAAGAAGGCTCCTGAGGAAATCGCAGCCTTTTCGAATGCTGATTCTTGCAATATAAGTTTTAATTAATCTGGTGTGTAATGTGCATGATCAACGTCCGACTAACCTCCTATAGCTCTCAGTGCTCCATTTATAGAAATGTGATCGGTATGACTCTGGAGCATGGACCGTCGGTGTCAGGTAAATCCATGTTCCTGTCTCCCACCCAGTGCCTGCTGGACTGCCGGTCGCTGGCTGCCTTCACCGAGTCTAACTGCAGCGTCCAGTGGGGGGCGACCAGCGGCGGCGGTCTGCCGGCCTGCGTCTCCCGGGCCGAGTACGAGGCGGCTGTCCGAGCCTGGCAGCGGGCGCGGCCCGACTGTGATCACTGCCTGCGGCCCTGCCAGACCCAGCTGATTGAAGTGAAGTCGCCTCCCGCCATTCAGGGAAATGGTGAGTGACCTAGCTGAGGTCATATCTTAAGTTCGATAAAAGGAAAGTATCACAAGGAACAGCCAGACGCTGCCAAAGGTTTAAGCGTTTGCTAATATAATCAGTCTTAAACAAATTATGCTATTTTGGCTCACTTGATTGGAACAGTGAGCCACAAACATCAATCATCACAGGTGAGCCTCGACTCGTTCCACTGTCCCTTGGCAGCTTCGCCAGCAATCGACATCCAGACTAATCAGCATCATGAGTGAGTCGCGACTTGTTCTGCTTCACTGTCCTTTCGCAGCTTCGTCAGCGATCGACATCAAGCTGCGCTTCAGCCCGGAGCGTCTGTCGGTGCGGCAGCGGCTGGCCTACGAGCTGGTGGACCTGCTGTCCGACCTGGGCGGCGCCTTCGGCCTCCTGCTCGGCTACTCGCTCATGAGTCTGGTGGACCTGCTGGACGCGGCTGTCGGCTGGAACGAGCGGCGCAGGCGGCGGAGGGCGGCGCCAGAAGGGTGGCGCTGAGACTGTGCAGCTGTGGACCCCGAAGCGCTAGCCTTTCGGATGAACCGGTCAGTGATTAAATCTCCTGCTTGCTTTGTTTGAAGCAATCGCAGAGGTATATAACATCTGTATGTAAGGTTTTTTGATGCATTTATATGCATTGCATATCATTATCAATCCGCCAGTCGATTACAAAGTTAAGACCTCGAGGCGCCTTCTCCCTGCCAACAATTCATCGTATATTTTTTCCGTTTTCTGTTCTTTATCCTTTGTCTTAACTCTTAGCCATGAGCATGTAAATTTACCATCACTTGTTTCAGGAAGACATTATTATCAATGATATCTTTCTATGGGTGTTGCAGTCTCGTATTCTGACATTAATAAACGATTGTTCCGAAGCATGCCAACCCTCGCTAGCATGACCATCATCGTGACGATCGAAGTGCAGCAGAAATGCAAATAGCGTGCTCCATGCTGAGAATGTAAACTATTACGGATGTTAAGAATATCGAAACACATCCACAAAGGCCCTCAGCGTGTAATTGTCGTAAAACACATATTCTCATGAGCAGCCTAGGATTTCACTCGGTTGTCTGCATTATTTTCAGCATCTCGGAATATATGTAGCCTTCCTCTCCGCGCTCAGCTGCTGAACATTGACAGGCGCGTCGGACTCGCCGCCGTCGCGTCATGCTGGCCGCGCTGACAGCCAGCATTTGCATGCAAATTACTGTGGTCCAGCTGTCAGTGGTCGGACAGAGCCGTGTCCGCAGACCGTCAGCCTGTCCTCCAGCGCGACACGTCGCCGCCTGACCTCCGTCAACAAACTCGTCGGCGTAATTCGAAACAATCTAAGGCCCGTCGTTTGCGGCGGCAGCGCTGACGTGCGCCATGTCCGTCGCACGTGACGTCCCACGCGCGCCACAAGTGTAAACAGGCCGCTTGGTGAGCCGGGTTGGCTTACGCCGGCGGCCCCGAAACACGGTGTAAAAACGAGCCGGTACGTGATGAGGAGCGCCACAGGTTTACGAGCGCGCTGGGACAGCTGAGCTGCCCGACTTCCTGGTGTTTACTGTCGCTTCGGCCTTCGAATGGATTATCTCAGATTACCAGCGGTGTTGAGTGACTCACTGACCATTTATGTCAACAGATGTGCACCCAGCGCTTGGAATCGTGGAGAACCAACCGCTTAGTACTTACAATCTGGTGAGCATAATGCCGCCTAGCCCGTTTTGAGTCTAACAGCGCCTACCGCTTCAGCGAGCCGATCTCGCGTCGACTCAATCGACGCCTCGATGCAGGGACAGGCAGCGCGCCGGCGACGGCATATTTCGTCGGCACGAGGGGAGACGTCAGATCGTTAGCCAAGATGAGGGAGAGACAAAGAGCCCCGCAATGGGAGCTTAAAGACACGTTTTTATTGGATTACGCCCTCCAATGCGGTGGGGACAAGACGGGGAACAAAATCGATCCCCATCGGTGGGGAAAGACGAGAGTTTGGGGAGCCCCTTCTCAGTTCTGACGCCAAGAGTCGTAGAAGACGTTCCCTAGCCGCGCGAGCCGCAGCCTCCTTGTGGCGTGCCGTATCTCACGCACAGGATGGCCGTCCCGCTGCGACCAGTGGGGTTTCAATCGGCCGATGCATGCCAATGTGACTTCCTCTCGACACGCTTCAGCCATAACTCGGAGTTAGAGTGGTGAGACAAACGCATCGGCACAGCAGCCTCGCAACTTCTCTACTCTCGCTCTCACTCACTCTCTCTCTCTCTCTCTCTCTCTCTCTCTCTCTCTCTCTCTCTCTCTCTCTCTCTCTCTCTCTCTCTCTCTCTCTCTCTTTCTCTTTCTCTCTCTCTCTCTCTTTCTCTCTTTCTCTCTCTCTCTCTCTCTCTCTCTGTCTCTCTCTGTCTCTCTCTCTCTCTCTCTCTCTCTCTCTCTCTCTCTCTCTCTCTCTCTCTCTCTCTCTCTCTCTCTCTCTCTCTCTCTCTCTCTCTCTCTCTCTTTCTTTCTCTCCTGTCAGGCATGACTATTCCGATACAATTTAGAACGACTAGAGTAAACAGCTTGCAGACGGCACGGCATGATCGTTGACTGCACTATATACCGATCATATTTTTACCGCTACATATTTGTTGCATTAAACTTTTCTCATAGCTGACTGCAGGGCTTGAGCTGTTTTCGACGGTTCGGTGAGGCAATGTAGGCTTGGTATTCACTTTAGCAATGCTGAGAAGGCGAGTCAAAAATACCCACAAAGTTGAACTGCTTTGCGGTATCGAGTCGTACCTATAGTTGTCGGATTGAACTTCAACGCCCAAGTGTATTTATATTTCAGCGTAGGTAAACTGAATTTGCGAATAACACTGTAACCGGTAACTGTGCGAAAACTGAAAAAACAGAACTGTGAAATAAACTGAATCTAGCTTTATCGAGAAGACTTATAACTTTTAATCTCTGGTGATCAGGACTGCCTGTTCAATTGGAAACAGCGTGTTCCCGTCTTTGTTGCAGTATTCTACTCCCTATTGGCGCATTGTTAAGGAATGCAGATGGTTACGCACTGTTCTCTAACACAGTGATCAGCACACAATGCACGTTGCACAGTTTCCACGCTATCAACAACTCAGTCCATTTACAGAAGTGCAGTGTGCACCGGACTCGCAGAACAGCACTCATGCGCCGTTCTGCTAACTAGGCACATCCCATCCCGTATTCTTGCATCCTTCGCGTCCCCTCCGTTCCAGAGGGATGAACCATAGACTACCGACGCCTGTCCGCGCCCCGTTCAGGCACCTGAGTAGTGGCCCGCCGCCCCCACCCATATCACCCATCCCCGCCCCGCTGACCCCTCAGATCAGGGGTCGGCCGGCAGGACTGCGATGCTAATGCAATTAACTCGTCGCCGCTAATTTATTGGTTCGGGGGAGCGCACCGGTGGCATTCCATCGGGGAGTTTATGATGCCTGCTGCGGCTGCGGACGTCTGCCGGTGGGGGACGGGGGTGGAGGGGGGCGGGGGACGGGGGGGGGTCATTTATATGCGCGTGCCGCCGGCAGAGGAAGCGCTATAACGCCGCTCCGGTCGGCCGAATGGGCGGCCGGACGGCGGCACGGTTGGACCATGAGAAGGACGACCGCAAGGAATGATACCGTCCGGACGACCGTCATTCCAGATCGGCCGCTAAGGAGCCCAGATGAGCCCAGATTTGGACGGTGGAGGCCAATTTCAGGATGTCAGAACAGCCCCAGAAGCGAACGCCTGAGCCGTGGAGATATAGAAAGGCGCCGATGTGTCGTGGCGTCACTTGAGAGGATTTCGGTGAAAATTGGTGACGCCATTTACGACAGCACTCAGCAGTGAGTGCAGAGATATGATTTGAAATATGATTTCCTAGAATAACATTTGTTTACGCTCGCTTCCATTGAAAGCATGGTTCCGCATGCCTTGAAAAATGTTATAGCTACAAAAGTTGTTCACATACCTATCTTTACTTCATTCCAGTGTTACAATTTTTAATCGATAAGTATAGGTAAGAACTAAGATCAAATACTCCCGCGTGTAGGTATTTTGTAGAAAATTCATCGACGTACCTATCGTGCAGTCAATGCCATGAAGAGGTTAAATTAGTGTTAGGTGAAGAAAAAAGATTTAGTTTTTTAAATCCGAACACAAATTCATAGCCCACAGTCATTGCAGGCTTATCATCAATTATTTCCTCCATCGTTGAGACCGTATAACATGTTTGTACACACATAGGATTTCGGCTCAAACAAGTTCCCTTGAGATCATGCTCTAAAATATCGCTATTTTCTCTTGATCATTTCACTTGAAATTGCAACAGTGCACCAGCCACATTATCCGTGGAAACAAACGTGAGACGAATATAAGGTCAACACCGGCCCACAGCTGTAAACTAACATCGAATATCACTTAACCATTCGCTGCAAACTATAAACAACGTCCTGTGAAATCTGCTACGGAACACAACACTTATCCAGTGCAGGGTACCAGAAACAGCAAACTATCGAGCTTTAGGGGGAGAGGTTCAATAGGTATAATGCTATACACTCTGCTTTTTCCCGAACGATTGGATAGGTCACGCAAGCAGAAACCTATATTTTGATATGTGCATTGCATTGCACTATGTAGAGCAGATACCTGGGAAGATGTACAGGGACTGCACTATTATAGAATACCGTGAAGAGTCGGAGTCGGAGACAGTCCCGAATCCGATCCAAAGCGTTCGTGGTGGTGGTTGCAGACCCGCGCGACATCTATTGGGGACGGCCAGAACTACGATGCAGAGCTGCCCGCCGGCAAACCGTGCCTGGAGTGAATGAGCGCTGTCGTCTGGCAGGGCCATACCGTACGTTTTCAATGCATCCGTTTTCCATAGGTTACCGGTGATCAGGCATCGGTAAAATCCTTTTTGAAAGGATTGCATTCCCAATCCACATTCCTAGTGCCGAAGTGGATTGCATTCCTACCCGCAATCCCCCTTTTTCACTTGGATTGTGATCAAATCCGCAATCCTTTTTTGCAATCCTGTTGTATTATTATGTGCACTAGTGGATCTGGGGGAGGGAGGGGGGCATAGGGCCGTGCCTCCATCCCCAAATCACCCATTTCTAATGCCTAGTATTGCGAGTAATTCCTATCTAAGGCACAGGTATTTTATGGGAAATATTTTTTGCCTCAAACACCCCTACATTTAAACCTCTACCCAACCAGTGTTTTATATTTTCAAAACTCGCCCTCAAATACGTAATTTTGCCCTTCCTATGTAGTTTATGAGCGTATATTATTTTGAGCGTTTAAATTAAAAGCGTTTAAATTATTTCAAGTTTCGATGTAATAAAGCCCTTGATAGCAAAGTACATTAACCCTCGCCCGCACATGCCATTTTCCCATCCTACATTTTCCCATGTAGAACGCACATGGGGGGGGGGGGGGTGGTGGTTACCACCCCCCCCCCCCGCGCCATTTCGTTCCTGTTGGAGATAGAGATTAGCGGTAAAGACCAAAAAGATTCTTTGGGAAGAGACGAATCCAATGATACCCAGTTTTACCTTCTCAGGTCAGTCATTGACCTTCCAGGTCAGGTCAAACTAAAAAAATGTTGCTGTTTTGGGTCACCGTTGGATATCAAGTGCGCTGCTTATCATATATCGATGACGATGCCGTTTTCTGGTGCCAAGCCAGCTAGAACCTCTTTGTCACACTACCCGACCAGGTTTTTGCTGCTTATGAGTAAAAAACCTGAGTTTTTTTACTTGCTTTTTTGCTGTCAAAAAAGCTGCTGAGGTCATTTCAGGTCAAGTTAGGTCAAGGTCAATTATATGTGTTTGTATGTCTGTGTGTGTCTGTGTGTATACTGATGTGGGCACCGATTGTTT